TTGCTTGGCGTTAAATGCTATAATATTCAAAAGATACAAATCATTCAATCTACTTTCAGAAGTTGTATTTCATAGGTATGTTTTTCAGAGACTTACAGGCTCGGCACCCGAGCCGGACCGTATTTTATTTTTTTTAAACATACTAGGATAGGGCCCGAAGTTTTTTTGAAAAAAATACCCAGGCTGGGCGAGCTGTATATTTTTAAAACCAAATATTTGAAATCGCCATTATAGCTATAAAAATCAAAAATAAATATATTTTAAAAAAATTCAGGCCGGGCCTGAAAATTTTTAAAAAAAAACCCCGACCGAAAAAATTTTTTAAAAAAATCTGGTCCGTACCCTGCAAATGGTACTCTGCAGGGCTCTGTTATTATTCTTAAAAAAGAGAATGTTCTCTCATTAGTTTACTAGAGTTGCTAATATATATAACCATTTTAATACATTGGGAATATATTCTAAAATGTGTTTAAAGCATCCATAGCATTTTTTGGGACTGTATCAACCATAGTTAATCTTTTATTCATAGTTATTCAGCTAATAAGGCATCATAAGATATTTTAACATCTTCATGATAAAAATCTAACAAATTATATTTTTTTTATATCACCATCTGAAAAAGGTTAGGCTTTTGTGGAAGTAATATCTGCATTGTAAGTGCTGCATGATGAATTAATGACCATTCATTTATTTGGGTTATAAATGTATCTGTATCTAAGATATACTCTTCTACTGATCCTATATTAATGTTTTAACTATGAACTTGCATTGCTACAAGTCGAGGGAGACAAATGTTAAACACGTATAGCTCTGCTTTTGATTCAACAATAACATACAAAATATGAAATTCTTCATCAACATAGCTCTTGAGTTCTAATAAAATGCTCTCCGCTATTCTCATCTTCTTAATCAAGTCAATGTCATGTTTTTGAAAAGTAATACTTAAAATAGTTGTACAATTAAATAATGCATTCCAATGAGAAAAAAAAATTTGGAATAAGTATTGAATCCAATAATTTTCTTGCTTCTGAGGAAATATTTCTTTCAAGCCATTGGGATATTTCGGTAATAACAATAGGCTCTTCTAACTCCCTAAAAGCTGTTACTTATTAATGGCAGAGACTCGAGGACAAGCTTGCAATTTCTTTCTCCCTGTTGGACAAGGAGTTTCAGAGATATTTATAATATGACTATAAATTTAGATAAATATTACGCCACTAAAATTTGAAAATAATAGGTAAATTACGCCAAGGAAAACTTGAAATCGAAATTAATTGATAAAATAACTTAGTAGATGAATGTGATAAATAAATGTAATTAAATATATATATATAAGATAGAAATAAATATTAACAAATATAAATAAACATTAACAATAATATTTTTAAAAATATAATCCGGCATCTGTATTTTTTAGCTTTGGAAGGGTGGTATCCCCCTGCCCTCCGCTGCGTACGCGCCTGTTATACATCAATGCTATGATTCCTTTTGTTATCCATTATATTTCGACCAATTATTCATTATTTCTCCATCACCATTTATCTTATTCTTCATTATTAGCGTTTCTTTTCCCAATTTCATTTCATTTTAATCTTTTCGTATTTTAACGTTTCCCCCTTCTCGTCTCACGTCAAATCTTGCTCTTTCCAATATTTAACTCCTCTTTCATTTTATATTATTTCCTGTATACATTAATGGTGGGTTATTGCATTTAGGCTTGGTTTATTTTGATTATTGTTACAATAAAATCAAATTTGTTTAAGCAATTTTTTATTAAAAACTAACATGGTTGCGTGTTTTATAATATACAATATGATTTGCTTTTGGTTGTGTTTATAACAACATAGTATATTTTGTTTGTGTATTTTTATGTCCTCTGAATTATTTTGTTAAATATTTAATTTTTTCAATATCACGATTTAATATATACTCAGAAGCAGGGTTGTGCATTTGACCGGTCAAATACGTTTAGGTCAATTGACCGATATTTGACCGGTCAAATATCGGTCAAATGTGGTCAAATTCAAATATATGTTTTTTTAAGTTAATATTAACTTTATTTTGAATATAATAGTAAAATGAATCTATAATATTAATTTTTTAAATTCATTGTCATTCATTAACTAACGTGTAGCTATATTTAGCAGAGTCTTGTTCTGATTCATATTCAATATTAACATTTTCTATAATATTATTTAATCAATTTTCCTGATTTCTTAGATCTTCAATCGATTTCTATTTTCATAAAAATATTAACCCAAATCGACCTATTTCTTTCTAAAGAAAAGTAGAACTAGGAATTGTTAGTCTCTGGACAGGATAGACAAAGTTTAATCTATTAACTTGAGGTCGGACTTGATTGTTTCTGGAAATTACCAATTTCCACATATTTTGCTATATTAAACATGCTGTTTCTGCTTCTTAATTAATTATATCACTTATAATATTTTGGTCATCACTACCTTGTTAAATAGCTAATTCTTGAATTATATCACATACTTCATTAATTTCACTGCTAGTGAGTCTCCTCTTGATATTGTGGACCTAAATAAGCAAACATTGTGATCACATGTATTTACATCGTTTTTCCCTTTTTTAAACATTATTTTAATTCATTTTTCTTTTAAATATTTTAGAGTATTTGACCGTATTTGACAGGTCAAATACTCCTCCGGTCAATTGACCGACTTGCCAACCCTGCTCAGAAGGATTTATGGGTAAATTGTATAAAGCCATTTGGTGAATCACAAATCGTTTATTGATTTGAGTCAAAAATATATCCAAAAGTGGAATAACAACAGTTATTTTAGTGTAATCCTATTGAGTCCACATGATTGTTTGCCTAGGTGCAAGTCGAGGCTTACAAATATTAAAATCATTTAATTTCGCTTTTGCCTCAATAATCTATAAATCACGTTAAATGATATATCTCTTTGTTTTAAAGTTATAATATAAAAATATTTGGGATTCTCATAGTTTCAGCTAAACCCATATTATTATTTTTTTAATAATGCCTAAAGTTGTTGTGTAATTGAATATTATTAATACTTTCCAATGCAAAAGGAAATTTGAATCTAATAATGACTGCTTCAGATAAAATATCGGGTTCCGGCTATTCTAACATTTCTCAAAGGGAATTCAAAATTGGCTTTTCTAAATACAAAAATGTTGTAACACTCTTAATGTCAAAGTCTTCATCTAGCCGGACATGCTTTTTGAAATTTATTTCTTCTTATAAGAAGTCTCAAAAATTATTTTATTCAGCAATTTCTTACTTTTTTTAAATAGATCTTGCATCCATCAATGTTTAAGGTTTAAAAAAAATGTAAGAAAATATACCTGGCATAAAATATTAATACAAAAGGAAGAAATATTAATTAACTTTGCTATATTTCAATATATATAGAACACTTTGCAATTCGCAATTCATGAATATCTTATATATTTTTTAAAAAAATTTCGCCATAACATGTTGATTTACTTTATTTATTTGATAATCATTGAAAAAAATTATGATATAATAAAATATTTCGTAAACTGATATAATTCTTTAATCTTTATTTCTCATGATGAAGTTATTCATTACTTCAAATTTATCCCATAAAAAATCTAAACATTTTACAGAGACTAGTTAGTTCATTATGTATTTAATTCGCATAATATTATAATTCTATCAACGGGTAAAATTATTTTAAAACATATCCGCCAAATCTATGTTTTAAGAAAAATATTCATAGGTTTTTACCTTATATACTAACCCGGTATTTCATTGAGATACTAAGACCATAGTGGATCAGCATATTTTTTTCCTACTCGTTCTCGTTTTACATATAAATAAAAAATAAAGTACAATCATTATTTTTTATTTTTTTTTATTTTTTTGGAAATGATAGATTTATTTTAAATCGTAGATCTGAGGGCCTGGAACCTGATCTAGAAACCTTTCTCGATCTAGATCAGAAAATATTACGATTTTTAAAATTTAGGTTAAACTTAAAATTTTTTTTTAATTAACAATCCGGGCCGAGTTATTATTTTATATCAAATAAAAGGGCTCTATTTGAAAAATTAACTTAAATGTGGAGACGTTACTATAATTTAAAAATATCGTATATATTATGTATATTAAAATTATCATCTTGCACTGTAATGCTACTTAACAGTCATCATCATTGGAGTATCTATGGCTTTTTGCGAGGCCTCGCTCTCTACACTAAAGAGAGTTCTGAGCGGTAGAGAATCATCGACGTAAACAAAATATAGTATTTTAATGACTTATGAAAAAAAATAACACAAAATTTACCATTTAATTCAAAATTTAAAAATTCGTCGTGTATTCATAAAAAAGATTTCTATGAGTGCCTAACTATTTGTTTTATTTCAAAAAAATATTGCCCCCCCCCCCCGCACCAACAAGAAATTATGGTAACTTGTATTATACCATTAAATAAGTGCTTATTTAGTATAATAAATTGCTTTAATCTGTTAGGTAAAGGGGGGAAAAAATTATTAATAAAATTAAAAAAAAATTGGCATCAGGTCAGAAGGAATACAAAAATATCTAGTTCTTGGCCCAGAATAAAAAAATAGTATGTCCATTCAGATACTAGCACCTTCACCCAGGCTAGGGCCCTCTATCCGGCGGATGGAAAATGGTGTGAGTGCAAAACTCCGAGTCGGGTTAAAAAATCATAATCCGGACATGTTCTAAAAATAAATAAGAGACCACAAACTCAGGCCATTCTTTTAAAATATCAGTTGAAAAAAAATATCGGTTCTCAATCTGGGTAGAATGGAACTCAAGAAGAGAAAATAAAATTTTTGCTGGATTACCGAATCTAACATTCTTTAATGTCAAACCCACTATAACATTCAGTGATTCACTTTTAGATTTTAAAATTACAGTTCAGTTCGGTATGAATCTCCAATAAACACCAAGATCCAAATCAAACGACAAAATATTCGAAATAATTAAATAATCTTTTTTATATACTTTGATATCTAAATGGACAATGTTTAAAGAATGCAAATAAGCTAGGGCTTCTACAACTTGTCTTTTCACGCGAGCGGTCACATTTTCCTCAATCAACACCTTTTTGTCAGGCAAGCACTCTTCCAGTGTCTGGAATATTTCTCCACCGTGAGCACTTGTAATATAAAATAAATTTATAATGCATGTAAAATTTTCAAGTGCCTCAGTTACCACAATAAATATATTAAAATGATCACCATAAATGTGAAAACTTGTGTAAAAGTGGTTCGCCATCTAACTATTTCCTGCCAATATATAGTTCGATGGAAATCGCTTTCATTCGGAATAAAATAAAAGTTATGGGAAGTGTATTTGAGGGATCGGACCAAAAGATTAAGAAAAGGAATGGGTTACATTCATAAACTAAAAAAAAAATGTTTAATAATTTATTATTTACCTGAGCCCTAATAAATGATGAAAATTTGCTTCTGATGCACTATCTAATATATTAAATTCCTTATTTTTATCTTTTATATAGGTCGTAAGTATTGATAAATTCGGGGCAATGCTAAGTTCAAAAGTAGACATTCTGTCCCGTTTTTAAAATTAAAATTGAACGTTTTAAATCATTCTTTAAATTTTACAAATTTGCTCAACCCCCAACGACATACTATATATGCTATAATATAATTTTTACTATTCCATGATCTTTATAATTTCCGACTGGTTTCATAACATTGATACAGGGATATAAATCTGTCATGTTTCGGGACGCGTATTTCGTTAAGAACTGAAGCTCTAAAAGTTTTTCCCCTACGCCTTTTCCGTATAAATTTTGCCGCGAATTCCAATCGCTTGTCATTCTAATCGTGGCATTTTTTGACAATAGCAAAGTGACCACTTTAAAAAGATTTTAAAAAAAAATATAATACATTATATCAGATAAATCAACGGAATCATTTGATAGAACAGATTAAACAATTACTTATTGTACATAAAAAGTATGCGGTGTGGGGGGGGGGGGTTAGGTATTTTTTATTACATTGATTAACAAACATAACTCTAAAGGCTCAAATTAAGATAACCAATATAAAATGCTATGGATGCAGGCGCGTACGCAGGAATTTGGTCTGTGGGGGGGGGGGGGGGGATAATAAAATTTTTTAAGAAATATTATTGTTAATTAAAAATACTAAGCATAAATTTATTAGGACTAATAACTTTTCTAATACACAATTTTAAATTAATGTGAATTTCAAAAAAATTATATAAATATGAATTATAAAATATAAAGTGAATAAAACCACGATATGAATCACTTAAATGACCCAAAATTGAAATTTGAATTTATTGAGCCTTTAAAATATATAAAAAAAAATTTAAATGTTGGAAATATAAATAAATACACAAAAAGTATCTTAGGAATAATTGTATTTTGTATATTTTGAGCTAATTTTTCAATTAAGCCCCCGAGTCGGACCGTATTTTAATTTTAGTAAACATACCGTACCGAGCTCGAATTTTTTTTAAAAAAACACCCGGGCTGGGCTTGAAAAATTTTTCCAAGAAAAATATCCGGGCCGAGCTGTATATTTTAAAACCAAATATTTGAAATCGCCATTATTAGCTACAAAAATCAAAAATAAATATTAATTATTTTTAAAAAATTCGGGACAAGCCTGAAAATTTTTAAAAAGCCTGGCCGGGCCTTAATTTTTTTTAAAAAAAAACCGGGTCGAAAATTTTTTTTTTAAAATCTGACCGTGCCCTGCAAATGGTACCTCTGCAGGGCTCTGTTATTCTTCTTAAAAAAGAGACTGTTCTCTCATTAGTTTACTAATGGAAGAGTTGCAAATATATATAACCATTTTAATACATTGGGAATATAATCTAAAATGTGTTTGAAATAATGCAAAGCATCTATAGCCTTTTTTGGGACTGTATCATATCAACTATAGTTAATCTTTTAATCATAGGTATTCAGCTAATAAGGCTAACATCTTCATGATATAAATCTAACAAATATATTTTTTTTCTATCACCATCTGAAAAAGGTGGAAAGGCTTTTGTGGAAGTAAAATATGCGATAATGAATTATAAACCATTCATTTACTTGGGTTATAAATGTATCTAAGAGAGGGAACATTTGTTTTATAATACTCTTCTACTGATCCTATATTAATGTTTTGACAATGAGCTTGCTTGCTGCAAGTCGAGGCGGACAAATATTAAACAAGTATAGCTCTGCTTTTAACTCAACAATAACATATAAAATATGTTCTTCATCAACATTAGCTCTAATTTCCTTGAGTTCTAATAAAATGCTCTCTGCTATTCTCATCTTCTTAATCAAGTAAATGTCATGTTTTTGAAAAGTATTACATAAAATAGTTGTATTATTAAATAATACATTCATGAGAAAATAAATTTGGAATTGGTATTGAATCCAATAATTTTTTAATTCTGAGAAAATATTTCTTTCAAGCCATTGTGATATTTCAGTAATAGCAAATAATCGGCTCTTCTAACTCCATAAAAGCTGTTATGCTTGATGGCGGAGACTCGATCTCATTGGACAAGCTTGCAATTTTTTTCTCCCTGTTGGACAGGAGTTTGACTAGAAATTTAGATAAATAATACGCCACTAAAATTTGAAAATAATAGGTAAATTACGCCAAGGAAAACTTGAAATCGAAATAAATTGATAAAATAACTTAGTAGAATGTGATACTAAATGTAATTAAATATATGAGATAGGAATAAATGTTAACAGTACTCTAGTTTTGTATAAAGATTTTAGTTTAAAGTTTATATCTAATACTTATTGAGATGTAAATTAAAATTGTTTAAAAAAAAATTATTGCTGCACATTGTTGCAATCTCATTCCTTTACAAAATTAAATATCTAAAATTATTATTTATTAAATAATACCGGCTAAGTTATTATAAAATTGCTCAAAATTATTTTTAGAATAACTAAACTTTAGATGGCTCTGTATCCTGACTCAATTATTCTTTCATTATTTGCTATTATGGGAGGGGTTTTATTTTCTAAAATTTTAAAATTAAAATTTTATTAAATTATTATACTATACTTTTTTGCTCTTTGGTATGATTTACACTATATTATCTTCAGTGTTTTTTTTTAAAAAAGTCTAATATCCATGACTAGAAATTTGAAAATGGTGAAAAAATATAATACCAAGAAATTTAAAAATAAAAGCTAAATATTACGCCAAGGAAAAGTTGAAAATGAATTGATAAAATAAATTAGTAAATGAAAAAGGTAATAATATAAAAATTCAAAAGAACGAGATATGAATATAATAAAATATAAATGAATATAAACAATAATATTTTTGAAAAATATATCCGGCATCTGCATTTTTTGGCTTAAGGGGGGGGGATAGTGGGGGGATTTGGATTTGTCCCACTGCCCCCCCCCCGCTGCGTACGCCAATGTGTGTCATTATATTGAAATAGTAATACATGATCGAGGGTAACTATGGAATTATACGATTATTATAACAAATTTCTTTCTCATTACTCTTTTATCGGCGATATATATGAATACAGAGCACCCTTGATAGGAAACCCCGGGATTGGAAATGATCGTTATGAGACAAATATAAGTAGGCGCGTACGCAGGAATTTGATCTGGGGGGGGGGGGTATAATAAAAATTTTAAGAAATATTATTATTTAAAAATACTAAGCATAAATTTATAAGGACTAATAACTTTTCTAATACACAATTTTAAATTAATGTGAATTACAAAAAAATTATATATATAAACCGGCATTTAAAAACTATAAAATAAATGTGAATTATAAAATATCAAGTGGATATAATCACGATATTAATCACTTAAATGACCCAAAATTGAAATTAATTTTTTGAGCCTTTAAAATTTATATATAAAGTATAAAAAATTTAAATGTTGGAAATATAAATTAATACACAAAAGGTTTCTTAGGAATATTTGTATTTTGTATGTTTTGAGCTAATTTTTAAATTATCTATCCTTGCTTGGCGTTAAATGCCTATGAATATACAAAAAATCAAAATCATTCAATCTACTTTCAGAAGTTGTATTTCATAGGTATGTTTTTCAGAGACTTGCAGCCTGGCCCTCGAATTTTAATTTTTTTAAACATAACCGGGCCTGGCCCTAAAAGTTTTTAAAAAAAAGCTGGGCCTAAAAATATTTTTTTAAAAAAATATCGGGGCCGAGCTGTATATTTTAAAACCAAATATTTAAAATTGCCATTATAATCTAAAAAAATCAAAAATAAATAAAAAATTCGGGCCGGGCCTGAAAATCTTTTTAAAAAAACACAGGTCGAAAAATTTTTTTTAAAAAAATCAGGGCCGTGCCCTGCAAAGGTCTCTGCTAAAATGTGTTTGAAATAATGCGAAGCATCCATAGGATTTTTTGGACTGTATCAAAAATAGTTAATCTTTTAATCATAGTTATTCAGCTAATAAGGCATCATAAGATACTTTAACATCTTCATGATAAAAATCTATCAAATATTTTTTTTTCTATCACCATCTGAAAAAGGTTGGAAAGGCTTTTGTGAAAGTAATATCTGCGGATTTGTAAGTGCTGCATGATGAATTAAAAATCCATTCATTTATTTGGGTTATAAATGTATCTACGAGAGGGGACATTTGTTTTATAATACTCTTGAACTGATCCTATATTAATGTTTTGACAATGAGCTTGCTTGCTGCAAGTCGAGGGGGACAAATATTAAAGCATAGCTCTGCTTTTAACTCAACAATAACATATAAAATATGTTCTTCATCAACATTAGCTCTAATTTTCTTGAATTCTAATATACTGCTCTCTGCTATTCTCATATTCTTAATCAAGTCAATTTCATGTTTTTGAAAAGTATTACATAAAATAGGTGTATAATTAAATACATTTATGAGAAAAAAAATTTGGAATAAGTATTGAATCCAATAATTTTTTGCTTCTGAAAATATATATCTTTCAAGCAATCCATTGTGATATGTCATTAATAGCAAATAATCGGCTCTTCTAACTCCATAAAAGCTGTTATGCTTGATGGCGGAGACTTGATCTCGCTGGACAAGCTTGCAAATTTTTTCTCCCTGTTGGACAAGGAGTTTAAGAGATAATTATTATTTGACTAGAAATTTAGATATATAATACATCACCAAAATTTGAAAAAAATAGATAAATTACGCCAAGGAAAGCTTGAAATCGAAATTAATTGATTAAAAGTAGATAAATGTGATAAATAAATGTAATTAAATATATATATGAGATAGGAATAAATATTAACAACTATAAATTAATATTAACAATAATATTTTTTGCCCCCTGCCCCCGAATCGTACGCGCCTAAATATAAGGTTTTATTTAATTAGGATCAATCCCATTTTTTTTCAAACACAATTCAAATATTTTTTAAAAAAGTGAATCAAGGGTATTTAATTTATTATGTTATGCAATTTTTCTTTTAAATTAACGCTATACTTTTTATGACATTTATATATTTCTTTTAAAAAAATAAAGAACTTAGAGTTAGATACTAAGAATGAGAAGAAATATTTTTGGCTTAAAATCATTCAAGAAGATCTTTAAAAATGGTAGATGCACTAAAGAATGAGAATTAATTTTTAATATTATTTTAATTAAAAATTTGCTTTTTTTTATAAATAAGGAGTATAGTGTATTATGTGTATACTGTACTCCAATCTTCATTATGTATCAATCCTTCAAATACAGGAGAAAGAAAATGGAGTTTCAAATAATATATTATAAATACATTCCTTTTAAAATCAACCATTCCAATCATGATATACCCCCCTCTTCCAAACCTCCGAATTTAACATTAAAATTCAATGATATAAGGGGGGGGGTGTAAAGTCTCTTAGCACATCAAAATGATAAGTTAGAGCTAACGACGTCCTATTTTTTAGTCAAATATAATATAAAACTTACTTATTTTGTATAAGTTTATATTTTTTTTTAAAAAATACCTGGCTATCTCCTTTTCGATTTCTTAAAATTGATAAAAATCTTCTTTCCGGGTTAAATTTTCTATCTCTTGGTCCTCTAAGCATTTGACATCATACGAATTGGAATATCCCAAAAATTATAAAACCCAGTTATGATATTATATTACAATGAAACCTCCACAAAGGTACCTCTCAGATGAGAGTATGTTTTTTAGTCATTGGTTAATATATTTAACAATTTTGATAAGATCCTTTTAAATTTAGCCGGGATCGAGATAAAATGGCAAGATAGAGATCATTGAAAAGGTGGCAACTTAAGAGAGCAGAGGCGTAGCCAGGATTTTGCTAAGGGAGGGGAGCTAAGGTAGGTTTTCCCTCTATAAATTCTATGGGAGGTCTTTAGGCCCACTTATTGCAGGATTTTGGGGAGAGTGAAGAGGGGAGGAAATACTTTATTCGCTTAAGATAATATTTACGAGAACAAGTAAATTTCCTAAGGGGGGAATTTCTCCTCCCCGCCTATAAGTAACGGACCAAAGTAACATGGGGGGAGGGGGTAAAATTTTAATTAATGGCGGATGAACTTATGAGATATGCACAATTAATTCCTAATACGTCGATCTTGAATCCATAACACATTTAGGCTACTCTGTTGGCGGAAACTGTGCCATTTAAAACTTCTTCCAAAAAACTGACAAAACTCTGGTTCAAGCTGAAGAAATATTACCTTTTTGCCAAGTCATCAATCGTATATCATTAAAAAATATATATAACATTCCTAAAATCTTATATCTTATACGCATTGCGCTTTACAACCATCTTCAAATTTTCAAAGGCACTTATGAAAATAAAATTTTTCGCTTATTGAATAAACACTCAATTCAAAATTTAACGACAGTTCCTGGTCTTTTATGCAACCCGGATGAATCGGGTAACCATCTCCAACGGCCTTTGCAATAAGTGGATTTATTTCTTCACTTCTTGCGCGCAGATCTTTAAGAATCAAACTAACGATCAAGCCAACGATCTCCTAGATGGAGCAAGGACCAAAGGCTGCCTAATATCCCTCGCCTATCAAAGGGATTAGGATGTCCATCTCGTTGAAGGTTCGATCGATAGCCTTAAATAGAGCATACATGAAGTTGGGTAGCTCTGTTTTCCCACCTGAACAGCGGGAATGGCTACCAATTTGTAGAGGCAATTCCCTCCGAAAATATAGGCCTTCTTTTATCCAACGAAGAAATTTGCTAAGGCTTAAGACATGCCACAACTTCGTGACAACATATTTATGCAAAGATTTTCGAATATACACCAACAACAAAGGTTTACATAGTCTCCATTACTAATACTGCAAAGGCCGTTTCCCTCGACATTCTCAGTGCAACGATCCATAAAATGGGCTTTAAATTCAGCAAGTATTCCATCTAAACTAAGCCTAACGGGCTCTTCAAAACCAACGACAAAAGCCTTGACGGTATAACCTTAATCCCATTGACCATGGGTCAATTCTATCTAAGTTTCGGGCTTTTCCTATACCAACCCTATTTCTCCATCTAACATGAGCAAAGATGGACTCTACTGATATCTCAGCGATTACTGCTCGCCATAAACAATATTCGATCAAATTATTTAAGTTTCTTCTCTTCATGTAATTATCCACCTTTTTTTCTCCAATTATGGTTTTTTTAATGTCTTTCTAAATATATTTTCATGGTATTGTTAGTCATTACGTTAATTTTGACCTTAGTTTTAACCCGAAAAAATTATATTAATTTTTGATTGTCCTTATATGGGTTATATTGTTTAAGAACTAATGTTAAAGTAATTGAATTACATTTAAAATATTATTGTTAATTTGTTAGCAAATTGTTAATTTTTATTTGAAAAACTACGTTTATAGGTGTTCCAACATGTGATTAATTTCCTAATGTGACTTATTAGATGTGTTTGATAATCTGCATTTAAAAATTTAATCCATATGAAATACAATTAAAAATTATTATAATTGCTTTCGGTTTAAAACATAGGACAAAATTAACGTAATGATATACAAATACAATATTATACCTATGACCTAAAAAAACATGAGCCTCTTATATAACAATATTTATATAGGATTTTTCTCTATACATAAAATTATTTTTATTATAATTGTATCTTCATGCATAATAAAATGTTTTAATTAACATTTTAAAGTAGGAATTATTTTATAGACACCCTCCCCTTAATCCTAACAGGTATTTTAATATATTAATGATATTTCAAAGGTATAAAATTTAACATGTTAAATGGTGAGAATAGAAATAAAATATAAAAATTTAAAATTTGATAATGCTTGTTAAAAATGGTATTTTATTAGGAAAAATGTCACTAAAAAAAATTGAAAAAATCACGAAATTTTTTTAATTAATAAAAGAATATTTAAATATTTTTCCATAATCCTATTATCGATACATTAGAAAGTTTTTGTATGTAATCTTTTGTCATTGTATTTGTTACACCTTCGTTTCTTCTTTTTTCCTTTCCTGGACCTTTCTATTTCATTATAAAATTTATTTCTATGTATTTTCTTTCGAGGAGAGGTCATAAACTTGAGTTTTTAATTATACACTACACATAATTGATTTGAGATTCGTTATTTATATTTTGTTACAAAATAATAATGATTGAGTAAAAAAAAATTATTTCCTTAAAAACATTTTTTAAAGAAATTACAAATTATTTGGTATATTTATGTCTTAGAACAGATAAATTAATTTTTTAAAAATTGTGGGAAAAAATTTTTAAATTTTAAATGATGCTATGTGATATGGTACCAATTAGATATAATAAGAAATATATTTATTTAAAACTTTATTCTGGATATACCGACTTCATTAATACATGGATATTGATAGAAAAATTCAGGTTATTACACCCGAGGAAATCTACAAGTTCCAACTTATTATTATTTAACGCAGCTGTACAAGGTAAAAACGAAAGTTACATCAATTAGGTGAGTAGATTATGCATTTTAAAAAATGAATGTTTGCTAAATGATAGTAGAGTTATTGAAAAGTAAAAATTTCATCAATCAGCAAAAATATTAGGCAGAAAATTACGTTAAAAGAAAACATTAAGTAGAAGTTCTTACTTTAAGAGATGATTTTGAATAGTTAGAATTAAAAGAAAACATAATTGCTTGAAAATATTTCTTTGAACGAAAAAACAGAAGATGATACAACCGTGAAACATGTAGAAAGGCAAAGAGGTAGGAAAACAGAAGAAAATAAACAGTTGGTGAGATATGGAGACCATGACGAACGACAAAATTTACAAACTAATTACGATAACAGACAACTTTGGATAACAAGAGGCCATGACTTTCAAAAAAATAATATCAAGGAAATAATTACAAGCCTAGATATCAGAATTATAACGCGAATTATTACAACAACTTCAGGGCAAACTATCCAGGATCGTACAATAATTCTTTGAGATTTGATAATAGAGCTTGTTATAATAACAATAACTAATTATAGGTTTAATAATGATTATAATTACAGATATAACAGACATTATAACGATTTAAGATTTATTCAAAGACATAAAGATAAATAATATTGGAAATCAAGGAAGAAATCAAGTATACAATTGTAAATATCTTAACAACGATAATAATCAATCACGATACACAAATAAAGTAAACACTCTGAATATAGAAGAGATAAAAGAAGATGATAATGACAAACTAGAAAGAAAAGTATATAATTTATACAATTTAGACATAAAGAATATGGAAACCGATAATGATTATTCAGCTAATGATGCATATAAGTTACAGTATATTTGAATGACATGCCTATTTTGATGCAGATTGATACCGGTTCCAGGTATAGCATCCTACCGATTCATATCGCGAAAAAGATTGGAGTAAAAATCTTAAATAAATTATAATTAACTGGATACGATGGAAACACAATAAATGTATAAGGCACTACCAAAGTCAAGGCAAAATTCGAGGACAAAAGTCAAATCTTAACTGCTTATAATCCAGAGTGATAAGATTGCACTGTTAGGAAGGGCCTGGATAACAGTTTTTGGTAATATTCTAGATATATTTGTGATGGTCGAGGATGATTATGATAATATTTTACAAGAATTAATTAAACAATGCTATTTTAAACTAACAACCAATGCTTCGCAGCTATGTCAAATTACTTTTAAAACACGATGCCACACAGAAAATCATACCGCCAAGGCGTTTACCATATTCTAGAATTGATTTGATAACAAAAGAATTTCAAAAGTGAATAAACAACAAAATCATTTAACTTGATGAAGATGTTAGATGGGCTAGTCCTCTCACTCCCGTTTATAAGAGCGATGGCTCACTTCGGCTCTGTGCCGACTTCAAAATTACTATCAACCCTGCTTTAGAAGATTTTAAGTACCCAATACCACGCATTGCAAAATTATCTAAAGGTAGGAAATTTACCAAGATTGATTTTAAAAACGCGTTTCTTCAAGTACCTATACACAAAGAATCAAGAGATTTACTCACAATATCAACACATAAGGGCTATTATAGGAGCAATATTCCAACAAACTATGGTTAACATTTTCGGAGACATGAAAGATGTGATATTTTATATCGATGATCTACTGATTACTGGGGACGACGATGATGCTCATTTGAATAACATAAAATTGGTGTTTGATAGATATCAAAATATGGGCTTGCACCAAATTTTACAAAAAGTATATTTTTTTAATAAAAATTACTGTTCTTGGGACACGATATAGACGACAAAGGTATACATCATGCAGATAAGATAAAAGCTATTTCTAACATGCCGGAACCAAAGACAAATGATGAATTGGCAACATTTTGGGAATGGCGAGCTATTATCGAAAATTTTTATGTAATTTTGCGGACATAGCTGGTCACTTATACAAAATGGTTAATAAAGACAAATGGTTATGGGATAGTACACATCAAGAAAGCTTCGAATGTAAGAATAATTCATGACAAAATATCAATTTTGAATATTATTTCAGATTTTGGAAATTTCAATTTAATAAGTATAATATATTTTAAAATAACCTGGCCGAAGCCAGCAAAATAAGGGGTATGGGGAGTGGCATTATTAA